TGCCAGGTCACTTCCAATAGAATTCTCATTTAATCCCCCAACCCCAAACCATAAGAGTTGTTCACAATGGAGAAAATTGAGACTCAGGAATTAAGTAATTTGCACCAAATTCCAGAGAGCCATATTCAAACCCTGTGGTCTGGATCACCTATCTGTGTACAGTGAATCTGAGGTACTTCCTCCTGGGAAGGCACTGCAAGTGGTTTCAGCAGCTGGGGCGAACATGAGAAAGCTCCAACTGCAGAATGGTTTAGTCAAACTGGCTAAGAAAAAGGGATCAAGAACTAAGGGTGGATTATGACAATGATCTGAGGAATCAAGCAGTCAAATCAAATTTAGTATGGCCCTTGTGTTTGGTTGCTTTTGCAAAACTTCAAGGTGGCAGTGATTGTAAGATCAAGACTGTTGGCACCTTTGACTGGCTCAGCTTCTGTGTGCCCTAATAAAGTTTCTAATGGACAGGGACACTTCAGAGGCTGAACAAAGTTTTTGAAGTAAATTGACACTGAAAAGTAAAGACCAAAGTCTGGAGAGTCAGAGGTGACAAAATAAAACCAAGTTATCTGCCTTGGTGAAATCATTTCCTATGACCAATGGAACAACTAGGACTGAGATAATGTTCCAACTCACACTGAGGAAAACATCTGAGTCCCTGATAACAGGGAAGTCGGGGAGGGGTGCTCCAGCGTCAACTTGGCCTCATATGATATAGTAGATACTGTCAAACACCTTATAAGAACAGAATTTAAATTCAACATTCAGTAAATAGTGGTTGCCTGAAATAAAGAGAGTGGCTTTGTCTGAGACTTTATAATAGACTTCATCTAAATGAGATGGCTGGGATAAGATGATTTAGCAAAAAAACAAAAGAACAATCAATATGAGGTTAGGTAGATACAGAGAACGAATTGATGGTCATCAGATGGGAAGGGTTTTGGGGAGTTAGATGAAAAAGTTGAAGGGATTAAGTACAAATTGGCAGTACAAAACAGGGGATAGGCAGTATAGTCAATAATATTCCAATAACCATGCATGGTGCTAGGTGGGTACCTGAAATATAGGGTGGACCACTTTGTAAAGTATACAATTGTCTATGTTGTACACCAGAAGCTAATGCAGTATAATAGTGAGTATAAACTATAATTGAAAAACAGTAGTATTTTTTTAAGAATGTAACCCTACACTAAATTTTTTTTACTTTGCTAGTTTTGCAACATGAAGAAAGTTCTGAATATGGATGGTGTGATGGCTGCACACCAGTGTGAATGTACTTAATACTCTTGAACCTTAGACATAACATTGGTTAAGATAAATTTTATGTTATGTATATTTTACCACAATTAAAAAATCGAATTTAAACAAGCTTACTTAGCTGTTTCAGTGAGCCCAGTAGGAACAATTCTTTATATCAAGGGTGCTTGCTAGAGGCCAGACGGCTTAATCCACAGTCTTTTTCTTTTTAATTTTATTTTTAAATCATGTTTATTCTATTACTCTTGTCTCAATATTTCCACCCTTGCCCTCCTCCACCCATCCCAACCTGCCTCCTTATCCCATAGTCAATTCCCATTCTGTTGTCCATGTCCATGGGTCATTCATACATGTTTTATGTCTAGTGCCTTTTCCTTCTTTCCACTATTTTCCTCGTTCCCCATCACTCTGTCACTTTCAGTGTGCTCCATGATTTCTTGTCTGTGGTTTATTTTGTTCATTAATTTTGTTAAACAGATTCCACCTACAGGTATTTGGTATGAGATCATAAGGTATTTGTCTTTCACCAACTGGCTTATTTCACATAGCATAATATTCTCCATTCCATCCATGATGTTGCAAAAGGTAGAAGTTCCTTCTTTCTGTTTTATGAAAATGCAGATTGATTTTATTTATTTATTTATTTATTTAAATGTCAAGATTCATTATAAAATATTTAAAAATTTAAATCCAGAAAAAATCAAGTTAGCAGAGGAGTGAGTGGAAGTCACACTGACCTCCTCCCACCACCAACCTGGAATTACAACTAAATTGTAGAGAAATCACCAGGAACAAACAACTGAACAACAGCAAGAGAGGAGCCTTGTAACCTCAGAGACAGAAGAATCAGCTTTAGCGCAATCTAACTGGTAAGGAGTGCCGATACAGACTCTAGAAGGTGGGCAGGGCACCCACAGGCGGCAGCACCAGAAGGATATTGAACCAGCCAGTTGGATCCTCCTGAGAAGAGCAGGGTCTAAACCAAAAGTAGGGATCTCTAGTCCACAGCTCCAGAGCCCAAAAAGCACACAGAAAACAGCCAGCTGCAAAAAGGGGCAGGATTGCTCTCTCCCAGAGGCAGGCAGCTGGAAACACAAAGAGCTATATAAAGGGCCAACTCATATGTTTTTATTTGCAACCATTTCCCCAGTCTCCGGCAAAGGCGGGGGCAGAGTGGGCTAGAGACGCCTGAAGAGAGACTGGGGAAGGAGGCTTTGGGGAGAAAACTGAAAGTAGCCAGCAGGATCTCGGTGCTGACTCATCCCCCATGCAGCAGCAGCAGCCATCTTGCTCAAGCAGAGACCACTCCCCCTGAGCAGCACCAGCATCAGAGGACCCAATAACCCCAACCCCAGGTGGGATTCCACCTGCCCTGTGCTCTCTAAGCCACCTGCTGAGTGCAGAGTAGCAGCCACAGACAGCAGATCCCTGGCTAAAGAGAGCACAGAGAGGTCTGGACACTTGAAGAGAGACTGGGGATGGAGGCTTTGGGGAGAGAACGGAGAGAGCAGCCAGCGGGATCCCAATGTGGACTCCTCCCTCATACAGCAGCAGCAAGAGAGTACCCGATTAGCCCATCCCCAGGAGACACTCCCCTGCCCTGAGCTGTCTAAGGCAGCCTGCAGAGCACAGAGTGACTAGATTAACTAGATTGACTGAAGGACGCAGCCACAAACAGTAGATTACTAGAAGTCTCGAACAGACTGCCTAAGGTCAGACAGGGACATCTGATATCATCAGAGGCGGATCCAGAAAGTAAAAACAGTGGTCTCCAACCATAGTTCACACCACAAACTCAGAAAATCAAGACAGGTCAACTTAAGAAACAGAAGCAAAAGAGAAGAGTCTCACAAATAATGGGAAGACAAAGAAATTCACCTCACTCAAAGGGAAAAGAAGAATCCCCACAAAGAGAAGTAAATTAAATAGAGGCAAGTGACCTATCAGATATTGAGTTCCAAATAATGGTTCTAAGGAAGTTCAATGAGCTCAGTGAGCTCAGAGAGAATTACAAAAAACTACAGGGAAACTATGAGGAACTTACTGCAAACTATATCAGCATGAAAAAGGACATAGAAAATATCAATGAGACAAGAGGAAATGAGGAATACAATTTCTGAATTGAAGAACACAGTAGAAGGAATCAAAAGCAGGCTACATGAAGCTGAGGACCAAATCAGTGAGCTGAAAGACAAGGTAGCAAAAAGCTCCCAGAAAGATCAAGAAAATGAAAAAAGACTCAAAAAGAATGAAGAGGCATTGAGGGAAATGCAGGACACCCTGAAACATGATAATATCCGTACAATAGGGATACCAGGAGAAGAGGATGAGGAGGGCATAGAGAACCTGTTTGAAAAAGTAATGATGGAAAACTTGCCTAATTTGAGAAGAGAAAAAGTCTTGCAAGTCCAGGAAGCACAGAGGGTCCCATTCAAGAGGAACCCAATGAGGCCCACTCCAAGACACATCATCATTAAAATGGCAAGTATCAAAGACAAACAGAGGATCCTAAAGCAAGCAAGGGAGAAAGAGGTAGTAACCTATAAGAGAGCCCCAGTGCAGCTAGCAGCTGACTTCTCAACAAAAACACTGCAAGCCAGAAGGGAATGGCAAGAAATAGTCCAAGCCATGAAAGCAAAGGCCTGCAACCAAGACTTGTTTACCCAGCAAGGCTCTCAATTAAAATGGAAGGTAAAATAAGGAGTTTCCCAGACAAAAGAAGGCTAAAACAATACACCTCCACCAAACCAGCACTGAAAAATATGCTAAAGATATTGCTTTAAGAAGATGAAGAAAAAGAGTCTATGAATACCTAATTCCTTTCACCAATATCAAGTCACCAATACTTGATATTACCAATATTTTTAATACTTATTAGTCTGATTGTGACAATGATGTTTTATTACTTTATTTGTTGAAACTGAACCTGTTTTTGTATATTTCTAGCCTGTTTCTATTATTTTTAAAAAGCTTTAAATGACTTTTTGGTATTCTTTTTCCATTTTTTGATTAAATGTTTGAAGAATTTCTTCCCTGAAAACAAAAACTATTAACCCTTGTTTAGATGTCTTGCAAATTCTTTCCTATTCTATTCTTTGTCCTTTAACTTTTTTATATGTATATTACTATATAATCTTAAATGTTTAATATAGTCATAGTGTCAGTATTTTACTTGATCCACTGTCTTTTAAATGGCATGTGCAAAAGCATCTACATACTTCTGAATAACAGGACAGCTTTAAGAAACCGTTAATACAGGTAGTCTTGAGGCATCAAGAACAAATTTAGCTCTTGGGAATTTGAAGAGAATTCGGTTCCCTGCCCCAAACCTTTCAGAAATGGGTCCACTGTTAGAATGCGCCCGTGGGAGGCAGCCCGTGGGAGGCAAACCGTACAGCTCATCACAATTACCATCAGATAACGGTGCCACTTCCGGTGCAGGACTGACCCCACCACCCCTACCGCTCAGTGATCAACAGGTGACACCTCCCTTACAGACAGGGGCACTTCCTCCACCACAGGGCTCTGTCTAGGCTTTGACTTGAGTCCTGTCCGGCTGTGCAAGGAGCTTCTCCAGTTCCGCCCAAGCAGGGCAGCGGAACACGGTCACCCCGATCCTGACCCCGACCCGGACGCGGACCCCGACGCCCCAAGTCGGCCGCAGTGCAGGCACAGCGCAGACCCTGGAGGCGGGGCGGAGGCCGCGGATCTCGCGAGGCCCAGGGATACGGGAGTTTCCGCCTGATCGGGTCGTGGGTGCTTCCGCAAAGATGGCGGCAGTGGTTACTGGGACCGGTCGGCTGGCGGCCTGGGTTAGTAGGCTATGGCGTGGAGTGGCTGCCGTCCGGTGGGCTGTGCGGGTGTCTGGCCCCGTGGTGGCGTCAACGGCCAGCGTGGCACTTGCAGGAGCGGGAATGGCGTGGTACCACGGCCACGTGAATGTGGCTACGCCGCAGGGCCTACTCACTGTCCTAGCGCAGGTAGGGAGGGACCCTTTCTACGTGCGCCTACGAACTCCTCAGACGCCGGGGCTGGGGACGTAGAGAAGTGGGGTAAGGTGCGGGTAGCTCGGGGAAGTGTCACGAGCGTGACAAATTCGGTGATGATGGCAGTGGGCGTGTCTTAGTGCAGCACTGAATTTGCTCCTTTCCTTGTGCGCGGTGCGCCGTCCTCTCTCCCTTCCTGGTCAACGAAGGGGTTCTCAGGTCTACAGGTCGTTGTGTCCAGTTGCCCCACTCGGACAAACCAAACGACGTACCAAGCTTGTACGACTACGCTGGGGAAGTTGCCCTAATAGATGACTATTATTTAATCGTAAAAATGTCAACCATAAAAATTAATCGGCTGATAATTTCCAGGTTTTTTGACCAACGGTAAAGAAATAATACACTATCGTCAACTTTAATGCTTCATTGGACTCTGAACACTAAGTAAAAGGTGTTTCTTCTAAAACGTCCCTGTGTTAGTGGTAAAGATTAACTTCCCTAGTTTAATATAAAATGGTTACATAAAACATTTGAAAAACTGCTTTTTAAATATTTTGTGGATATTTTAACAGGTTTTTGTGTGGACTTAAAAGTAGGATTCTTTTTTTTTGTTCGTTTGTTTGATTTACATTAGGCCTTTCTCATGAAAACTCCAGTAACAGACACAACAAAAGAGAGGAAAGCAGGCTTTGTGAGTTAAAATTGACAAATATATCTTTTATTTGTATTAAGATGCCGCATAGGTAAAACGTGCAATGACTCTTCTGCATCCTTACACCATTTCTGATCACAGGTGGCAGGATCTGTCCTCTAGTGTTTTATGGCATTTTTGTTAGTTAATCTATGTCAAGCAGTTTATTATTCACCATTGGTTTCTCCTGTATTCTCAACCCTTTTATTCAACCTGTTCAGGACGCTTAGGTTAATTGTCCCAAAGGAAACCATTAGTGCGTTGATCTGCCTAGAATTTTATCATTTGGAGCCCTCTGTGGTGACTCTCTGACCTGCCACTACTCAGACACACTTTACATTTCAGAATGGATTCACTCCTGTCTGGAGAACAAGAGTTCTTTTTTACACCCTCAACAATTTGTAGTGTGATTATGGTTCATCTGTCTCATTGCTTTTTTTCTGGCCCATTTCCAGCCTATTTATGTTTTAAATTCCTAACATGACAGTAAAAACTTTATATTGCTGTGGCAGTTTTAATTCTCCCCATCTCCTTCACCTTCTTCAGCCTAGCTGAAGGAATACAGAAAACATTTTATTATCAGATTGTTTGTTTCTTCACAAGATCTATTAACACAGTGTTGCCTGATTTGCTGTTGGACAAATTTAAAACAGTGGATCTCATTCTTTGACCACTACAATGAATTTGAAGATGACCACACATTCCTCTCAGCACAGTGGCGGAGTACAACAGGGACGGGGAGGCTTATAGTTTGAAAACTCTCCCTCTACCTCATCAATTCTGGTAACACTTTCTGAGGAAGGATCTTTAGTCCCTCCACCACTGCCACCACCAACACCACTCTGGAGTCATGTGCATAGTTGAGAATTACTATAGATGTGTACAATCTCTTGGTAAAATTTTATTTTATGTACTTAGTATTTACTTAATATTGCAAGGTAATAAGACCTTCTTCATATAGACTTATAATAATAGTGATAATGTTCTTCATTTTCAATCATTACCCTAAGTGATTTTTCCAGTAAAAGTAGTGATTTTATAATAATCAAATCCTACACTCTTCAGGTTCCCGTTGTGACCAACAGCTTACATTTAGAGGGTTAGTCAGGAATTAATGGTAGAATTCAAAGTCAAGAAACAGGAATTAGGAATTTTCCTTCTTTTTTGCCTTTCTTCTGCAATTACTGCAAGTACCTACTCTGTGTCACACAGAATGCAAATAGTGGGGATTTGAGAAACAGTTGAAGTCTTCCAGTTTCGTGGGGAGGACAGTTTCACACAGTATGCTTTGGTAAGGTGGTAAGTGTGGGTGCTACAGGAGCAGTGAAAGCGTGTCCAACACAGTCGTGGTTTCCTGAAGCACTGATTTGAACTTAAACCTGTCAGATGATTGGGAGTTTGCCACACACAAAAATATGAGAATGTTGGAAGCAATAGCATTGCAGAACTCTGAAGATAAGGGTTTACTCAGTCAAATGCAAGCTGCAAAACACGAAGTGCAAGATAGGGGTAAGGGGGGTGTGGTGGCAGGTAGACAGATCATGAAGTTCCACTTAAGCCATATGACAGAAATATTTATCTGATAACAGCAGAGAGCCATTTTAGGGGTACTTACCCCTCGTGTCCCAGAAGATCAAGGCATACAATTAAGGGGTCTGTGAACTTAGAAAAAGAGTACATTTTTGTTTTCATTGACTTATATTTAACATTTTCTTCAATTATGAATGTAGGCAACAAGCTACAATAGTATTAGCTAACCAACTCTGTCATCAATAGAAATCTCAAATTTTCTTATATTATAGCTGTTACAGGTATCTCAGTATCACTTCTTTGAAATTAGAGTACTTTTTACACCTGCCACCATATAGTTATCATGGTTATTTAATTCATAAAGAATTACATGTACTACTATATCATGAATGTAGATAGAGAGCCCAGCCAAAGCTGTGTTTAAAATGGCTAAAGTCAGCGCTGGCTGGTGTGGCTCAATGGATTGAGCTCTGGCCTGTGAGGTCCTGGTTCAGTTCCCCATCTGGGCACATGCTTGGGTTATGGGCTAGGTCCCTGGTTGGGGCCATGCAAGAGACAACCGATCAATGTTTCTCTCCATCTCTTTCTCTCTCCCTTCCCCTCTCATAAAAAAATTTGTAAAATCTTTTAAAAAAAAAAAAAGAAAGAAAACTTTTAAAATGGCTGAATTCCCTTTGTAATTAGTGTGCCTTTCCTCTAAGCTTCAATCCACCTATGTTCTTTCGCATGTGTGCAGTTCTAAAACATTTTCACCAGTGAGTAGTTGCTCGTAACTTTTCAGAACGTCTGTTAGTTTAATTTTGGCTGATGTTTCCTCATAATATAGGCATTTTTATTAGGAATAACACTGGAGCCATGCTGTGTTCTTTCCAATGCTTGATGGTAGCTGGCATATGATTTCTACTGATGTTAACTTTTATCATTTAATAAGATGGTATGTGCCAGGTCTCTCCACTGTAAATTTAATTAATGTGTGTATTTGATACTCATTAATTAGTAAGTATTTTGGAGGGCAGTATGTTAAGGCTTTGTGGGGCTCTCTCTTCTCCACTATTTTTTTATTCATTCACTTATATCTGCTTGGACTCATGGACTCCTGTTTTATTTTAAAAATTTCAATTCATGATCATCATGTTTATGTGGATGCTCAGTGTGCCTCTATGTAACCAGTGTCCCAAACGCTGTGCCTTGGACACAAATGCCCACTTCCCTCACCCCTGGCAGAGGGAGGAAGAAGAGAGGGGCTGCAGCCAACAATCGATCAGTTGATTGATCAATTAATCTAGGAGAAGAGTTTTCAGCATAAATAACACAAAATGACAGGTAACTTGCCTAGGATATGGTCAGTGGTAATCTCTGAAATGTTAAGACAAGTAAAGGGAGAGAAGAGGGTATTTGGAAAAGCAGCTTCTAGGGAGGAGACCAAAGTAGACATCCTCCCTCCCCCAGTGAACTTAATGGTGTCATTTTGCTTCTTAAACTGTATTTAAGAGTGTTTATTTATGCTGGCCTTGATACTGAAAGAACTTTTAAATGTCTTTAAAAAATGCTACTGCAGGCTTCTGGCCAAAATGGAGGCATAGCTAGATAAAATTTGCTTTCTCACACAACTAAAAGAAGGATAACAAACAATTTAAAAACAAAAACAACCAGAACTGCCAAAAAATCAAACTGTATGAAAGTCTGACAACCAAGGAGTTAAAGGAGAAGCATGCATCCAGACTGATAGGAAGGACAGAGACCAGCAGCCGGGGCAGAGAGGACGCATGGCAAGGTGGTAGCTGGCAGACCAGGCAGTCCCACATTCTCATGCGGATAAACCAGGAGGAACAACTGGGGAGCGAGACAGATTGTGCAACCCAGGGTCTCACAATCTCTGTAGAAACCTGTGGGGATTGTGGCAGCAGGAGAAACTTCCAGTCTCACAGTAGAGTCCATTGGAGGGGCCCATGGGGTCCTAGAACATACACAAGCCCACCCACCTGGGAATCGGCACCAGGGCAGCACCTGAAAGGGCATAGTTCACTTGTAAGTAGTGGGGGAAGTGACTGAAAGCGGGGCAAGAGCTGAGCAAGCAGCATTGTTCCTTCTCTAACCCCTCACCCACATACAGTACCACAACAAAGCAAAGTGGGTTGCCCCACCCTTGCGAATATTTAAGGCTCTGCCCCTTACAATGCAAACAGGTCCACCAAGACAAGGAAGTAGGGCCCAAATGAAAGAACAGATCAGAACTCCAGAAAAAGTACTAAGTGACGAGGGGATAGCGAGCCAATTAGATGCAGAGTTCAAAACACTGGCAGTCAGGATGCTCACAGAAATGATTGAGTATGGCCACAAAATGAAGGAAGAAGTAAAGGCTATACAAAGTGAAATAAAGAAAAATATACAGGGAACCAACAGTGAAGGGAAGGAAACTGGACTCAAATCAATGATTTGGAACAAAAGGAAGAAATAAACATTCTACCAGAACAGAATGAAGAAACAAGAATTCAAAAAAATTAAGAGAGGGTTAGGAACATCTGAGACAACTTTAAATGCTCCAAAATCCAAATCATAGGGGTGTCAGAATGATAAGAGGAAGAGCAAGAAATTAGAAATCCTTTTGAAAAAATAATAACAGAAAACTTCCCCAGTCTGTCAAATGAACTAGACAGGAAGTTGAAAGAGTCCCAAACAAGTTGGTCCCAAGGAGGAACATACCAACACCCATCATAATGAAATTATCCAAGATTAAAAATTAGGAGAGAATCTTAACAGCAGCAAGAGGAAA